TTTTTCTTGCCTGATTGATCTGGCTAGAACTTCCAGTACTATATTGCATAGGAGTGGTGAAAGAGGGCATCCTTGTCTAGTGCCGGATTTCAAAGGGAATGCTTCCAGTTTTTGCCCATTCAGTATGATATTGGCTGTTGGTTTGTCATAAATAGCTTTTATTATTTTGAGATACGTTCCATCGATACCGAGTTTATTGAGGGTTTTTAGCATAAAGGGCTGTTGAATTTTGTCAAATGCCTTCTCTTCATCAATTGAGATAATCATGTGGTTTTTGTTTTGGTTCTGTTTACGTGGTGAATTACGTTTATAGACTTGCGTATGTTGAGCCAGCCTTGCATCCCCAGGATGAATCCTACTTGATCATGATGGATAAGCTTTTTGATTTGCTGTTGCAATCGGCTTGACAATATTTTATCAAAGATTTTTGCATCTATGTTCATCATGGATATTGGCCTGAAGTTTTCTTTTCTTGTTGGGTCTCTGTCGGGTTTTGGTATCAGGATGATGTTGGTCTCATAAAATGATTTGGGAAGGATTCCCTCTTTTTGGATTTTTTGGAATAGTTTCAGAGGGAATGGTACCAGCTCCTCTTTGTGTCTGGTAGAATTCGGCTGTGAACCCGTCTGGACCTGGGCTTTTTTTGTGTGGTAGGCTCTTAATTGCTGCTTCGACTTCTGTCCTTGTTATTGGTCTATTCATAGTTTCAGCTTCCTCCTGGTATAGGCTTGGGAGGACACAGGAGTCCAGGAATTTATCCATTTCTTCCAGGTTTACTAGTTTCTGTGCATAGAGTTGTTTGTAATATTCTCTGATGATGGTTTGAATTTCTGTGGAATCTGTGGTGATTTCCCCTTTATCATTCTTATTGCATCTATTTGGTTGTTCTCTCTTTTAATTTTTATCAGTCTGGCTAGTGGTCTGTCTATTTTGTTGATCTTTTCAAAAAACCAGCTCTTGGATTTATTGATTTTTTGAAGGGTTTTTCGTGTCTCTATCTCCTTCAGTTCAACTCTGTTCTTAGTTATTTCTTGTCTTCTGCTGGGTTTTGAGTTTTTTGATCTTGCTCCTCTAGCTCTTTCAATTTTGACATAGGGTGCCAAGTTTGGATCTCTCCATTCTCCTCATATGAGCACTTATTGCTATATATTTTCCTCTAGAGACTGCTTTAAATGTGTCCCAGAGATTCTGGCATGTTGTGTCTTTGTTCTCATTGGTTTCGAAGAACTTCTTTATTTCTGCCTTCATTTTGTTGTTTATCCAGTCAACATTCAAGAGCCAGTTGTTCAGTTTCCATGAAGCTGTGCGGTTCTGGGTTGGTTTCTGAAATCTGAATTCTAACTTAATTGCACTATGGTCTGAGAGACTGTTTGTTATGATTTCAGTTGTTTTGCATTTGCTGAGCAGTGCTTTACTTCCAAATATGTGGTCAATTTTCGAGTAGGTGTGATGTGGTGCCAAGAAAAATGTATATTCTGTGGATTTGGGGTGGAGAGTTCTGTAAATGTCTATCAGGTTTGCTTGCTCCAGGTCTGAGTTCAAGCCCTGGATATCCTTGTTGATTTTCTGTCTGGTTGATCTGTCTAATACTGACAGTGGAGTGTTAGAGTCTCCCACTATGATTGTGTGGGAGTCTAAGTCTCTTTGTAAGTCATTAAGAACTTGCCTTATGTATCTGAGTGCTCCTGTATTGGGTCCATATATGTTTAGGATTGTTAGCTCTTCTTGTTGTATCTATCATTTTACCATTATGTAATGGCCTTCTTTGTCTCTTTTGATCTTTGTTGCTTTAAAGTCTATTTTATCAGAGATGAGAATTGTAAATCCTGCTTTTTTTTGCTCTCCATTTTCTTGATAAATCTCCCTCCATCCCTTTATTTTGAGCCTTTGTGTATCCTTGCATGTGAGATGGGTTTCCTGGATACAGCACACTGATGGGTTTTGGATTTTTATCCAATTTGCCAGTCTGTGTCTTTTGATTGGTGCATTTAGTCCATTTACATTTAGGGTTAATATTGTTATGTGTGAATTTGATACTGCCATTTTGATGCTAGCTGGCTGATTTGCCAGTTAGTTGTTGTAGATTCTTCATTATGTTGATGCTCTTTAGCATTTAGTGTGATTTTGGAATGGCTGGTACTGGTTGTTCCTTTCTATGTGTAGTGCCTCTTTTAGGAGCTCTTGTAAAGCAGGCCTGGTGGTGACAAAAGCTCTGAGTACTTGCTTGTTCACAAAGGATTTTATTTTTCCTTCACTTCTGAAGCTCAGTTTGGCTGGATATGACATTCTGGGTTGAAAGTTCTTTTCTTTAAGGATGTTGAATATTGGCCCCCACTCTCTTCTGGCTTGTAGTGTTTCTGCTGAGAGATCTGCTGTGAGTTTGATGGGTTTCCCTTTGTTGGTGACCCGACCTTTCTCTCTGGCTGCCCTTAGTATTTTCTCCTTTATTTCAACCTTGTTGGATCTGTTGATTATGTGCCTTGGGGTTGCTCTTCTTGTGGAATATCTTTGTGGTGTTCTCTGTATTTCCTGCATTTGAGTGTTGGCTTGTCTTGCTAGTCGGGGAAATTTTCCTGGATAACGTCCTGAAGAGTATTTTCCAGCTTGGATTCATTCTCTTCGTCACATTCCAGTACACCTATCAAACGTAGGTTAGGTCTCTTCACATAGTCCCACATTTCTTGGAGACTTTGTTCATTCCTTTTTGTGCTTTTTTCTCTGATCTTGGTTTCTCATTTTATTTCATTGAGTTGATCTTCTACTTCTGATATTCTTTCTTCTTCTTGGTCAATTCGGCTGTTGAAACTTGTGCATGCTTCGCGAAGTTCTCATATTGTGTTTTTCAGCTCCTTCAATTCATTCATATTCCTTTCTAAGTTATCCATTCTTGTTATCATTTCCTCGAATCTTTTTTCAAGTCTTTTTTCAAGGTTCTTAGTTTCTTTGCATTGATATAAAATGTTTTCTTTTAGCTCACAAAAGTTTCTCAGTATCCACCTTATGAAGTCTAATTCTGTCATTTCGTCACATTCATTCTCCGTCCAGCTTTGTTCCCTTGCTGGTGAGGAGTTTTGGTCCTTTCTAGGAGGCGAGGTATTCTGGTTTCGGGTGTTTTCCTCCTTTTTGCGCTGGTTTCTTCCCATCTTTGTCGATTTATCCACCTGTCATCTGAGTAGTTGCTGACTTTTCGATTGGGTCTCTGAGTGGACGCCCAGATTGTTGATGATGAAGTATTTCTGTTACTTGGTTTTCCTTCTACCAGTCTAGCCCCTCCACTGTATGACTGCTGAGGTCCACTCCAGGCCCTGCTTGTCTGGGGTGCACCTATAGCAGCTGCGGAACAGTGAGGGATGCTACCAGTTTCTTTTTCTGCTATCTTTGTCCCAGAACGATGCCTGCCAAATGTCAGTCTTTTGGATATAGAGGGGTCAGGGAGCTGCTTGAGGAGACAGCCTGTACTTTATAGTAGCTCAAGTGCTGATCTGTGAGCTCTGTTGTTCATTCAGGGCTGTTAGGCTGCTACGTTTAATTCTGCTGCAGCAGAACTCATAGAAAAACCCTTTTTTTCTCAGATGCTCTGTCTCGGGGGGGGTTGGGGCTTTCTTTGTGAGTGTCCGTTGTGCTGTCCTGCCCAGTTAGGAGGCAGTCTAGTCACTATTTGCCTGCCGAGGCTCAGCCCTGCTGGTGTGAGGTTTGCCCTGTTTCTGCACACTCTGCCATGCTGCTGCAGTCTCCGCCCTGCTGCCACAGGCTACACCCTGCAGTGGAGTCTCTCTGTTGTAGCGGGTTGCCTCGGCAATGGCAGGCTGCGTCAGCAATGGGTGTGTACCTCAGTAGGCGCAGATTGCCTCGGTAATGGCAGATCCCCCCCGCCACAGAGCTGCACCATCCTGGGTTCAGCTGTGCCCTCAGGGAACCTCTCCACCCAGAGCGTTTGGAATTGCCGTTTTGTTGGTCCCACTGCACTACCCCAAACGCTGTTTCCCTGAAATTTCCCTGCCTGGCTCACTGTCCAAGTCCCGTTCAGTCTCAAGTTCAGCCCTCTCAAGTCAGATTGCCAGTTCAAAAGGGCACCCGGACCAGTGTGCTTTGTGCGGAGTGCTGTGTAGTGCCACTGTGCTACAGCGCCGGCCGCCGGCTGCACCAGTTGCTGGCTGCACCAGCCAAAACCTCTGCCTGGTGTCCCATGTCTCTTTTATACCTTGGAATTTCCCCGTTCTGTGGGCAAGAAACATCCGTCTGGAAACGTGGCCCTGACTCACCCTCTCTGCACATTCACCAAGAGCTTCAATCCTGGGTTGTTCTCACCATGCCCTCTTGAGTCTCCTCCCAGCCTATGTGTTTTGAAGTGGTCTTTATTCTACAGATGGTGAAAAAAGACTCCCAAGAGGCTTATTTTTCAATTGGATTGGATATCAAAATTCAGGAAAAAAGTAGACACTTAACTACTCACTGTACTGTAATAAATAACCAAGTCAGTCATCATGGAAAAAACAAATAATTTAGCTCTATTTAAATATTGAATTCTAATAATATTGGACAAGATAAGAAATAATAAAAACCTTAAATTTGGCTTCCATAATTAGTAAAGCAAAACCAACTCAGTAAAACCTAACAAATTTGATTTTAAAAGATGTTGTTTTGACCACCACATCAAATCTGCATGTGTCTATTTCCAAAGTTTTTGTAATATGATGCAGGTAAGGAGAGAGAGAAAGAAAGAAAGAGAGAGACAAAAAGAGAGAGACTCTCCAAACCAACACTCTTGATCATAGAGAAATGAACACAAAAATCCCTTCAGCAGATTGCAGTTGTTCTAGGTGTAGTGATGTCTTGAAACATGTACATACTGTGTAATTCACTTGTATAGCTTTGTGGCACACAGATACTAAATGTTAAGGTTCATTCACATTGTTTAATGACAATTATAATGATTAAGAAACTTTACGCCATGGATTACTATGCAGCCATAAAAAACAATGAGTTTGTATTCTTCATAGGGACATGGATGAACCTGGAAACCATCATTCTCAGCAAACTGACACAAGAACAGAAAATCAAACACCACCTTCTCACTCATAGGTGAGTGTTGAACAATGAGAACACTTGGACACAAAAAGGGGAGCATCACACACCGGGGTCCATTGAGAGGGGCTACAGGAGGGAGGCTGGGGGAGAAATAACATGGAGAAAAATGTCAAGTATAGGTGATGGGGGAATGGTGGCAACAAACCACCTTGCTGTGATTGTACCTATGCAACAATCTTGCATGATCTGCACACGTACCCCAGAATCTAAAGTACAGTAAATTAAAAAAAACTTTTATCTTTAGTCCTTCATTTTGTAGCTTTTGCTTTTGACTAATTCATATTTAAAAATAATAAACACAAAAGTCATGTACTGATAATGTTTACTTATTTCTTTTCTGATGATTAACAAGTTAAGATTCATAGATTTATATAATATTTGGTGAGGAAACGGGAAATTAATATTATAGTAAATTCTTAAGTATATTTAAAATCTATGACCATTACTTTTGATCTGCATAAATATCAAAAGTTCTTTAATTCTTTTTCTTATAATTGAAATAAAAGAAAAATATCCTGAGCCTTCAAAACTAGATCACTCTTCTACATTTCTTTGGCAGCTGAAGTATTAAGATTTATTGAAGTTAGAGTTCTTACCTTATTAATAAATATGTTAATTTTGTTACTAAACTTACAGGTGAAATACAAATCGAGTCAATAGTTGAACATGTGAAGTAATAGATTTAGCCCCCACATAATACAACAAATAAGTACTGAGTGCATAATTTTAGAACTCATAATGACAGCACAATTACATAATGATCACATCATTAAATAAGCAAAGATGCAAATATAATAAATACTTTTCTAAACACATATCAGCAATCTTAGCCAAAATTGGTATATAATTGTAGTAAATACATTAATTAATCATCCCTATGTAAAAAATCCACAGAATAGCAGATACACTAAATAAGTCAGGTAAGAAATTTTTAGTGATTCATAGAACTCATGGTTTAATGTGGTACAGCTAAGGTGAAAATCAACTCTGAATGTGATGTTTAAATCATAAAATGCTGGTTTATAAAACAATAATATAAATATCTAACGATATATACTGTTCTCCCAGATACAGTCATGATGCAAATGTAAGTCAATATAGTATAATATGTCATCTCTTTTTATGTTCTAGCCCACTAAACAGACAATTGTTGAAGTATCTATTTAACATTTAAAACATTACTGTGTATTCGAAGCCTATAAAGTCTTTTTACTTAGGAAAATTTATCTTTAAACTTCATCTGTCTCTTTTATTTTGTAGCTTTAACTGTGCCATTTACTTACCCAGATTCAGTCTGACACAGATGTTTTCAACAGTGCTTTGTGCCTTATTTACTTTATTCAGTAGAGAATTCACAGGTAATTATTTTGCATAATAATTAATATCCCCCTCAACTAGCTTTGTGTCAACTCCTTTTCTCAGAATTTATCTTCATCCAGATTAAACAGAAGCTGTTATTTGTTACTTTGTAGGTTATTGTGACATATTCCAGAAGTTCCTCAAATTAGAGTAGTAGATTTGTCATATTCAAAACTGTGGCAAGTGCACTGAGGTAAACCATGGCTAATAAAACATATCGCAGTTATTTAAACACTCTTTAGGAGGAGATGTGGTTGATATTATGACACTTAATTGTAATTTTATTAATTTATTTTAATTTAATATATATCAATTTTAAACTTTTTTATATTTTCTCTTGACTCTTTGGAACTTACTGCCCCCTATTCCCTAGTTAATGCACAAAAACACCACATGTACAAACTGATTGCAAGGAACCAAAAGCACAAGCAATTCAAGCCAATCACCCTTATTTTCACTTCTTGTGCTTCTATCCTGTGGGTGTTTATGAATGAGTATGTAGATTGGGAACTTATGTTGATGATTTTTATGAAGCATACATAGAACTTACTCTTATTTACAAACAATTGCAAATATCTAGTTGCCATATCTATATTCAAGTAATAAGCCTTTCATGATGTTGGACACAGACCTTCTTGACTTCCAGAAAATCTCATCTGAACAAACCTGCAAGCTTCGACCAGGTGCTGCATAATCATACAGTTCAAAATCTGTCAATTCCTCAAGTAAGAGAAAACATTCTCAGAGTAGAATCAGAGAAAAAAAAAGAGACAAAGCACCAGTGCAAATCCATTGCCAAAATGCTGAGTTAAAGACACTCAAAAATGGGGTATTTACCAAATATGATATGGAAAAGCAAGCACATTTATGACCTGTTATATTTCAAAAGTCACTTCATTGAAAAGGAAACTATTGATGAGGAATTAATATGACCTCCTGCTAGGATTAATATACAGGAGACTACCATCGCAGCTATATCTAAGAAGGCACTGATTGTAACTCATTATCTCATATATATGTCCATGCCAGCTCCACATTCATTGCATTTTTATGGAAATTTCAATATTTACCAATGGTGGAATGCTTCCAATAATGAGCATGGATATGCAAACATATTTTTCATTATCATCAAATGCTGAAGACCAGGCGTGCTTCTTGGGTGTTAAAGAACTGTACAAATGATCACTAGATTCTTAAAATGATACCAGTTCAGCAAAATCCCTTTAAAGGTGCTATATTTACAGTATGTGTGTATTCATCTATGTGTCTGTCTAATACATTATTTTCTTCTCAGTCTATGCCAAGCGATCTTATCTCATTATGAGCAGTTCTGGTCAGAAAGCATCCTTGAAAATTTTATTCAGTAATGCATTTTCCCTACATAGGAAATGTTTCATCAACAAAACTCCTAGAGCAGCATAGGAAGGGAAAATTATACTATCATTATTTTTTTAAATTCTCACTTCATAATGTGTTAAACGCAAAAGGCTTCTGATTCCAGATTATGGAAGTCAAGAAGATAATAAATTATGGTAGTTATACTTGAGAAATAATATCAGAAATAACATCACAAGGGGAACTTTAATGACTTCAGAAATCAGCCTCCAAATTTTATGGGCATCGTTTGCAGCATGCACCAAGAAGTTACATCACACTAAGACTCTGAGGTAAGAGAGATTATGAAAACCGTCAGTGTAAACTGCTTCATGGTGCCGATATTAAGGTAACAAACTACCTTGTTGCTTGAACAGTGATTTCACATTATTTAATTTTTTGGTAGAGGGGCCGGAGTTTCACTTTTGTTGCCCAGGCAGTAGTGCAATGGGGCAATCTCCACTCACTGCCTCCTGTGTTCAAGCGATTCTCCTGCCTCAGCCTCTTGAGTAACTTGAATCACAGGCATGCACCACTACACCCAGCTAATTTTGTATTTTTAGTAGGGACAGGTTTCACTATGTTGGTCAGGCTGATCTCGAACTCCTGACCTCAGGTGATCCACCCTCCGGGGCCTCTCAAAGTGCTGGGATTACAGACATGAGCCATCGCACCCGGCTCTCGATTTCACATTCTTTTCTACAGCATAGATACATTGATATATCCCTGCCAATGCTTTCAGAACTCTACCATCTTAATTGTACATTTGGATTATCATCAGAAAAAAAAATTAATAGATTGAATTCAAAAGTTTAAAAAGCTAAAGAAATCAGGAGTTTTAGTTTTTTAACCATTATCACATTAAGAAGTTCTGTGTACAATAACAAAACTTTTCTCTGTTATCAGATAAAACTGGCCAGTCATTTCATTAAGATCTGAATGGGTGTCAGGTGTGAAGGTTCTACACAAACAAGTCCCTTTACCTCCCATTCCCATTCCCATTCACATCCGATTACCAGCCCACTTCCTGCTCCAGCCAGAGCAAAAGAATTTCTGTTCCTGACTGCTTCTCATTATTTCTTGCACAGTTGCTTGCATTCATTCTTTCATGTATTCAGGTCATATTAAAAGCTGACTTAGCCAATGAAAAGTGCTAAGTGCTAGGACAAAAGTGATAGAGCCAGAAATGGATCCACCCTCATTGAGCCTAAAGCCTATTTCAATGTTTCGATGTCCCTGCATATCTTTTTTTCTCTTTCCAGAATATCTTCCTGACTTCTTTTCTGTGTGATAATCTCATTTGCATATCTTGAGATGCAGGACAGGAATATCTTTTCTTTGAACCTTTTATATCATCCTTTAAAAAATAAATATATATATATGTATTCTTATTAACTTTTGCACATGCTTCTTTTATAGTTTTCCCCCTATTATAGAGAAAATATTTATCTATGTTCGAACTGTAGCTGCACCAGACTACAACCTCTCAAACACAAGAATGGTGGCTTATTCATCATGTGCTTTGTATACAGTTGATGTTGAGATCAATAGTTTTTCTTAATGAATAATTGAAAGAATAAATTAATTAATCAATTGGAAACATAGAGCTCATTTAATTGACCTATTTTCTAGTGAATATTCAGCATTCAATCTGAGCTTGAACACATGTCATTATTAGAAAACTATTTAATGATCTTGATATGGGCAGAGTATCCCTATGGAATTTAAACAGTGGAAAAGTCACATGAAAATAGATCTGACCAGATGAAAACTGTATTAGTTATCTATTGCTGTATAACAAATCATCACCAGCAGCTTAGTACAATATCCATTTATTATCTCAGTTTTCACTGTTTAGGGGTCCAGGCATAAAGCAACTCCTCTGTTCAGAGTCTTACAAGGCTGCAATCAGCTTGTCATATTGGCTGTGTTCTGGAGCTCACAATCCTCTTCCAAGACCACACAGTTGCTAGCTGAATTTAGTTCCAGTTGATTATAGGACAAAAGTTCCCATTTTCTTGGGGGCTGTTAGGCAGAGTTCACTCTCAGCTTCCACATGCCAGTAGAAATTCCTTCCCAACTGTTCCTCTACGAGGCTCTCTTACAACATGGCAGCTTACTTCAAAGCGACAGAGACGCTCTCGCTCCAATTTGCAAAGGGGATGTCTTATATAATGCAATATATTTCCACTACCTTTGTCATATTCTATTAGGAGGGAATTTTATAGAGCCTGATTCAGTAAAGTTCACCTTAAGGTATGCCACTGCAAAATTTTTAAATCAAACGTTATAAGTAAAAATCATCACAAATAAAAGAAAAAAAATAACGATTGAAGAAAATACCAATATGATACTCAAAATATCTGACTTGACCTCATTACCAATCTTTAACAAAAGAATGACAGCTCAATCAATCACTCTTTCTTCTGAACTGGTAAATTTTATTTAATTTTAATCCTAATGTAGTTCTCAGTACTTTTGAGAGAATAACAAGATGGGCACTTCCATATACCATTTGTAGAAGTGCTTGCTTTATAGAAAACGGGGGCGAAAATATCAGTCACTATTTGTCTTCTCCATTGCCCTATCAGAGCTGTCACTGCAATCTGCAATGTACTTGTAGTAGGAAAACCATGTGGAAATTCTTAGGTCTAAAAATTGGTGTTACAGTCTGTTAAGCTTTTGAACAATCTGCAAGGCTATTATTATAACCAGTAATTATTAAAAGGGAGCTTTCTATCTCCAAGAAATTGAAAGTAAATGCTTTTCCTGAATTTGTAAGTGTGACAGAATCTGAGCTCTGCCTTTGCCAGCTTCAGTGAGCTAGAGGGAAACATTGTAGTTCCACATGCAGGGCCTTGGAACACTCAAGTCACCTTGAATTAGGACCTGATGGCTACATCCCGGAGTAGGAGAGACTCAGAAACAGTCCTCATCCAATGATCACCAAGTCTTGAAGATTCCATTTGCTATGTATTTCTTGAAACCTTCTGTTATTTCTTGCACACCACCAGATTTTCATGACCTCATTTTTGGATTACAGCGGCCACCACGTTAGTTTTCTCATCTCCAATTTTATCCATTTCCAGAATGCCAGCAGAATAACCCCTGGGTGTCCTTCCCACCTGATCTCACCACCTGAATTCTTCATGTACCTATAATAATTTAGTCCTATGAATAATTCTTCAGATCTTCTTCCACCACTCTCCTTCCTTCACTTCCTTTCCTATGTAACTTTACATTTATTATTCTTGGAATAGAAAATTGTTTTTTGCCACTAGGCTTTTGACATGCTCGGCCATCCACATGGCATTGTCTCTTCTCTCCACTCATGACCTCGATATCTCTTGTTCTTCCTTCTCATCTAGCTTTGACGTGCCTCTCTCATGACTTCCACCAAGTCTCTCCCAACCAGACTATTTGTATCCATTATACTTGCCTCAATATATTATTAACGTTCTTTCTTGTAGGCTGTCCTGAGAGCTCTGTGTGAAACATTGTGTTTTCATTGACTTCATTTTTCCAACCGAATGTTTAGCACTTAGCATATTTTAATAAATATCCAGTAAATGAATAAAAGGGATCTAAATATTTAGATGTGATGCTTTATATCTTAGCATTCCAAGGGCCAGCCTCTAATTGTTCATAAAATAAGTTCAGATCTCAGATGCGGAATAGATGTCCCCTCTCAAGCCAATCACTGGCTACTCAGGTTGACAGATTTGAAGTAGGCACTAAAACTTCTAGGGCATCCTCAACTAGAGAGCTGGGAAGAAAAAGAAAAACCTGGGACATATCTCGCCTTGATTTTATAGCTCATTCCATCACAGATGGCCTGGGAAGGCACATCCTAATGTGCTCCTGCTGTAGTTCTTTTCATCTATAAAATCATCATCCTACCTTTGGGGCTATCTCCCCAGGGAAGGCCCTGTAAGGATTCACATGCTCATTTTTGCAGACTATGCACTGGTATTCTTTGAACGAAGATATTCTATGAATACAAAACGTTTTTTGTCATTAATCCATATGCCCTATCACAGTCCAACATATTTGATTCTGTGCTACTAAACAGCTGCTGGCACCCACCAAGAGCATCTGGTTCCATTTCCTGTTGGCAAGGGCTTTATTAGCAGTAAAATAGCTAATGCCTTTTAGATGGCCTCATGATTACAGCTTTTATTGGTACCGTAGGTAATTGAGTTACTAAATTTAATTGCCAGTGCTGACACTTCTTCCCACCTGCCTCCACTCCTTTCCTAGCTCCTGTTTGTCTCCTCTCAAAAAAAAAATAAAAGCAAAGAAACCATTAATAAGAATATGCATCAAATAAGACAGATGACCTCACAAAACACTTCTGAATGACTTCAAAATGTCACTGGGCCCACCCCAGTTTGTTTATAGCAGCATGCCGTACCATGACTCACATTTACTACCCTTTTCCTTTCAAGCTAATTTATAGAACTGTCCACACTACATCGGGCAATACCCAGAGTATATAGTGAATTGTCACAGAGATTTCCAAGGCAGTATTTATAGTTGCAGAGGAGAATATGGGTACAGGTTTCTGGATCTCTCAACTAATAATTCACATACTACATTGTAAATCATGATGAAATACTACATATTATACAATAAAACAACAACAGAGAAGAGACAATTGAAAACTGAAATCTTCTCTTGAGAGACATTTTTAAGATCTTGCTGAAAGACTAACAGATCCTGAATTGCAAAATGTATTTCTCTCAGGACGACAGTCTCCTGGATGGCTCTGGGTATTTCGTTGTTGTTGTTAGTACTCTTAGACATTTGCCAGGATTACCACTGGCTAATCTTATATGCCCAAATTGTTCTTTGTGTTCCTAAATTAAGTATTTTGCCCCCTTATATAAAAATACATTACCCTCATGTCTGCCTAATTAAGAGAGGTTGATGGAGACATTAGGGATTCAGATGTTCAGTGTCACACTATAATACACGCCACCAAACATACATTATTCAAATTGCTTTCCTGCCTAACTCCTGCTCAATGACCCCTTTAAATCCCTTCTAATGATCATCAAAGCTTTTGGATCCTGTCTTATTTCTCTGTGTAGTTTAATTTTCAGCATTCAAAATACAAATTCAAATCGGAGGTGGATACAATATCCAAGAGAGCATAAGTAATTAGTTATTTCCATATATTGAGTACTTCACAAATATCATCATATTTAATACATCCTGTAAAGTAGGGGTTGTCGACCAGGGTGAATTTTACCTCCAAGGGCATATTTGGCAATGTCTGGAGACAGGTTTGTTCATCATAACTGGAGAAGAGCTACCGGCATCCAGTGGGGAGAGGCTAGTGATGCTGCCAAAACGTTGTAAACTACAGAACAGTCCCCATGATAAAGAAAAGTATCCAGGTTAAAATGTCAATAGTGGTTAAGAAACCCTATTTTAAGGTATTGTTTTCAATTAATAGAAGAGGGAACAAAGGTTTAGAAGCAATAAAGAGCTTGCCTAGCATTGCTCAGATTATAAAGGGCAGAGCACAAATTCAATCCTAGATTTAGCTAACTTGTCCAATCTCTTTCCACAGGAAAATGTAGCTTCCTGTAGCTTCTGGAAACCAGTATGGAAACATGGAAGCTAAAGCAAGTATTTCTTTAACTGCTGAACACCCAAAACCACATTATGTCAAGAGGATGGTTTTCCTAATCATCATCCAATATGAAAATAACATTACCGTAACACAACCCACATAGGTGGGTGTGTGCTGCTTCTGGCTACAGATTTCTACGTGGAGATGCCATGGAGGCCGATCTACAAAATGCAGATGTGTCAACAGAAGGCATAAATGATGGATACAAATGACTCTTCAATGGAAATTTTATGTCATAAAAATGGCAAAAATGAAAGTGATACATCAGGGTATAAGCTGAAAGCACAATAGAAGATGCCAAGCCAAAACAAGAACCAGAAGATGTCGAGGGAATGATTCCAAAGAACTTGCCATGGGTTTCAATAGAGAATCCTGGTGATGACTGATTTTGTTTGTATCATCAAGGCTTCCCAGTAAATTCACATTACATATATATTTTATTATTTCTTAATGATTTTTGCCATTCTTTAAAAAAAGAGAATGCATTGCAAAACCTAATTTAGGACATAAAAGTTAATAAATTGTTTGTTTAAATTCAAATATTTGTTTTATGCATTGTTTTGTTTTCTCTTTCAGTTAAACCCAGATGTTTTCAATGCACGCCAAATGCTTCTTCATGCTTTCTTTAACTAATTTGCATAATTTATGTTAAACAAAAAGACTTTCCAGAGTTCTTATGTTTTTCATTTTTTCCCATGATTTGTATTCTATAGCCGCTCCGTGTACCTACAACTAAAAAACAAACAAGCAATTTTTGTCTGCATTGTTCTCCTTTAGAGTTAAGATAACTATACTCTGGTAATTTGCTTGGATTGGGAAGAGCATTGTGGAAGTGGAAGAAGGACAAGATTAAACCAGTCCTGAGACAGTTCTGCATCCGGGAACAAAGGAAAAGAGATAACAAACCAAAGCACACCTGGATCAAACACCAAGGACAATCCAGAGGCTGGTGTAGTAAGGTGAGGGCCAGGAAACAAGCCAGATGAAAACCTCAAACCTGAAACGGAGGCTGAGGACCAAATCCACAAAATCAGGTGAATGCAGCTAAAGACAGAGGAAGATTTAACATCCAGGGGTAGTCAGGACTGGGAGAACTGTAAAATACCGGAGCTTGAAAAACCTTTGAGCTGCCTTCATTCTAAATTCGAAAACTGAGGCCCAGGTTTTCCCCATGTTGCATAGTGAGTGGCAAAGGTAGAGCTTGAATCCAGATCTCCTTTCCTGTCCAGTGTCTTAAAAATGGAAGAAATTTGCTCTGAAACATTCAAGCTTTCTAAGCTACCTACCCAGAGACCTGTGTTGGTCCCTTAATTGCTCATGATGGCTAAAAGATTCTGCATTCCAACCCCCTTCAGTTCCATAGTTGTGTGCAAGTCACGATTTGGGGCTCGAGTGTCTTCTGCCAGATTCGGGATTAGTGTCAGTTCCTCAGAATCCTTAGCTGTCCTCTTGGCTTCCACAGATTATGGCTGTGGTTTCAGACCCTTTCGTTGAAATCCGGAATTCCCTCCTGGTCGCAAGCCACAGACCTCCACCAATCCTGGAGTGCTCTGCTGCCACCTAGGGTCAAAATGCAGTACTACCTTAGCTACTCTGGGATGCTCTACTGCACTGTAATTAATACTGTAGATATTTATGAAATCTTTTACTTCCGAACCAATTTTTCCTTATATTTAAAGCAAAAAAAAAAGTCCATCACTTTTCATTGACACTATTGGCCGTCATTAAAGATGGACTTTGACCCTCTATCAAACTTTCAGTTCTCAAAGAATCCTGGGATTTCTGTTTTATCACAGGTATTGTCAAAACCATAAAACCTCCAAATTTCATATAATATACGTGCAAAATAGTTTTGCATGTTCTCTGTTTATAGCCAGAATTAAAGTGGATTTGAAAGAAAAGAAAGCTACAATGCCAAAGCTTGCTTGTTAATAAAATAATAAAGAGAAGAGAAAATGGCACCAGATTTAACACTGTCACCTTTATACTAATGCAAAATGTTACAAATATTACCTTCTAGGTAATTAAAGCAGGTAGTTAAGGTTGTAGGTAAAAACACGAAGCGCATCTTTCTCATTCTCTCCGTGCATGTACATATACATAAAAATCTGCATAAATATATTTTTTAAAGCAGTGCGTATATGGTTGGTGAGAGAACATAATTCAATTGCTCTGACATATATATCCACATATCTACTTCTATTTTTGGAACTATGGCAGTGGCAATAGTAGAAAAAAATATGAGGTTTTCAAATACTCATATTTTTTTCTACTATTGCCACTGCCATAGTAGAAAATAATGGTATCATTTTTTAAGAGCTACCCTATCTAAAAATCAAATATGTGAATCAGATAAGAGCTTAGATTAATTTCTAACTTCCACTCTATCCAGACCTCTGAGGAGTTCTCTGGAGCTATGGGAATATCTCAAAGCACAGATGGCAGCCACTGATGGGGTGGAAAGCCCAGGCTCTAAAGAAAGGCAGACCTGGGGATGAGTCCAAGTCATTACGTGACTTTGTGGAGGTTGTCTCTGTTTGTGAGAATCATCCGTTAGAAACAGCTAGAAAGACCCAGTCTTCATGTTACAGCTTACATTAAGCTCTTGTTGAGACACACTTCCCTTGACAGAGTTCCCAATGCCTATATATCTCAGTCCTGTGACTTTCCAAAACTCATATACCCAGGAAACATGAAGAGTCTGGTATGTAAGACCACCTGTCTAGACCAATCCCATATCTTAGGGAGAGTTAGAGAATATGCCATAGGCAGATGGCTTAAACAGTTGTTTGTAATCCAGCCTCAAGATTTTGGCCCTGAGTACAGTTTCTGAGGCATTACTCCCTTTGTCACTACCATTCTTTTGCAGCATTCTTAACAAACCCAAGAACCTCACTCACACTTGGTTGAAAACCCCATGTGTTTTCTGCTGATAACTGTATCACAATATCAGGCAGTGTAGAATCTATCAATCAGGTGGCCAAAGGAAAGAGTCCAAGAACCCCAAATAAGCCAAGACACAGACTTTCTAACAAAGACTTCAGACTCTGTGAGCTCTACTGTTCTGCAAGTGCAATACTATGCAATGCTAACATAATAACTTCTCAGTAAGAATGGGAAGAAAAGGTATTTTTATGTGTCTACCAGTAACAACTCCTCAGGCTGGAGTGCAGTGGGACGATCTGCACTCACTGCAACCCCCACCTTTCAGGCTCCAGCAATTCTCCTGCCTCAGCCTCCCAAGTATTTGGGACTACAGGCATGCTCCACCACAACCAGCTGATTTTTAAAATATTTTTGGTATAAACAGCATTTCGCCATGTTGGCCAGGCTTGAACTCTGGATCTCAAGTGATCTGCCTGCCTTGGCCTCCCAAGTGCTGGGATTACAGGCATGAACCACTGTGCGAGGACTATTCATAGGTAGTTATTTGGCTAGTTCCCATTCTTGTCTTTAGAGGGTCTTGATAATATATTCAGTTTTGATTTGAAATCTTGTCTGTGTACTCCACAAACAAGCCAAGCTTTAAAGAGAGAAGTAGAGGAGAAATATGTTGGCTCATTTTAATTTCTGACTTCTTGGCCAGCTCCTCACTGAGTCACTGATATAGAAAGATATGTGTATTGCTACTTAGAGAAAAACATATTTTTCTTTGACTAAAATATAAGTTATTTCCATGGATGGTTCCAAATGTCTTTCTAACTAGCTGGATTCTAAGAAAATATAGCAATTATATTTGTGTGTGTGTGTGGAAGGGCATAATAAAGATGATAACAGGTGCCTTTCCCCACTTTTACTCTTAGTAGGTATCTATAGTACTTTATAGGCTAACAAATAAAACAGTACCAACTTTATGGAAGACTTGGTTTAGGATCGGATTGGTATGATACAGAGCTTTTGGATATTCATTAAACAAATCAATTCTACTCAAATATATTACTGAGGATTGTTAATGTTTGCATTCCTTCTGCTAGTGGAAATTATAGTGTGTTCAAATGTGCATATATATATATACACACACACACACACACACGTATATGCACACACTTCTACAACCTTTAAGCACTTCTCTCTTTTACCAGCAGAAATACAATTTCTGTCACTACAAGCAACATTTAACTACCCCCACCCCATATCAATCTTTTTTTCACATACAAAATACTAGAAGGCACAGAAAACTCAATTTCATTTAAAAAGTCCAAATATACTCTAAGATGTTGAGTACAACCTCAGTATTGGCATATGCAGCTGAAAATACAACCCTATGACAACATAAAATATGTCAAGAGTTACCAAGTGGATCATCCCTTTGATTTATTATACCCTCTAGGTATAAAACTATCAAGTTACTTGATATAAAGCCCAGTGGTTACCAAAAACTACACATATATTCTTCCTCATTTTTTAAAAAATGAAATAGCACAATATATATTAGAGTAAGTAAAATGCAAAGAAACAGTATGTAGCTCGGGTTTGAAGCCTCCAGAAAAACAACAGATCCATATGGACAGCTGGAGAGTTATGCCATGTTTTAGTGAAAAGACCTGGTGTTATAAATATCGCATTTTACAGATGAATAAACAAAGACCCCGAAGGTCATAATGCTAGTAAATGGCAGAACTGGGCATGAATTAAAATCTGACTTCTACCCCAATGTCTTCCTCTGATCTTTCAACAATTACTTATGCCCATAGAGATTACTTTTTTCTTGCCATGAATTTAGATTACAGATTATGAAATTATAACTCATTTTCCTTAGGTTATTGAGTGAGTTAGATTGAAGTTAAAACCCCTGCAGAAGAGAAAAAACAAGTGATTCTGAATATTCATCAAGGAAATTGTAAACACCACATACCTTATCAACCTTCCCAGTTCCCAGACATGGCTATATCTAACAGAGCACTTGAAGAAGGGGAAAGGAAGAAGGGAAAGGCACAGGCAGAATGTAAAGAGCCATCATCTCATGCCATCTATCCAACCTGTGTTGTTCCATTTGTCCTGTCCATAGAGATGTTTTGGGGCCAGTACACCAAACGCCAGTGCTGAGGACATAGGCATGCCAGCGGAAGTAGCTTTATCAGATCATTTATCAGGCCATCTGTAGCCAGAGCCAAGACCATCCTACTGACCTTGTAATATACTTTGAATGTCCACATGCCAGGGCCCCTGAGATTCCAGGAGAGGCTAATGGGTATGGGCAATTGCCTTAGATTCCCAAATTAAGAATTTCATCAGCAAGACAAGGCTTTGACACTGATCAAATCATAAGGCAATCATTGGTTACTTAAGACACTATTGAGATGTGGGAGACCCCAAGGTATTTTCAGAACCAAGACTATTTGGTTCTTTTTCACTGTTCCTCTTACTGGTGATGAACTATCTTTCATCTCATCATGGAAAGAGGGGAGCTCAGGTGAAAGCATCATGACTTCACATCACAGCATCTACACCAGGAACTGAGAACATTATCTTGGAACATCTCTCCCTTAATAGGAAAGAAAATATTTTCCGGAAGTTTTTGAGAAGACATCTTTTTGCCACTTCATTAACTCCTTGCCAAATGCTGCTGGATCCATCCTGGGCAATCATAAAAAATAGTAACATGAATTAACATGATACACTTTGACCAATTAGGTTTACCTCAGGAAGTGGGACCTTGGCTATCTGAAGAAAAGTGGTGTTTGGTTAGTAAGGAAGAAGGGGAATGAATTGTTTCCCAGATTGGGTTATTCCTTCATCACTGCCAGTAGCAGGCAGCATCCCTCAGGAATACTCTATCTACCCTTAGTCTAGGTTTAGCATGAGCAGCTGACGGTCATTAAAGATACCAGATTCTCACAGTGCCAAGAGGAGTCCACTATGAACTTCTTTTACCTAGGAGTGTTCTTCACCTGCAGGTACCCCAGAAGTCCCACAGAACCACCATCTTGTTCTGGGAGTCACTACGCTACCAGCGTTTCAGCAGCTGCTACTCACAGAGCATCCATCAGCAAGTCCCTGATCCCACCTTCATTGTGTGTGCAAATCTCACTATCTCAGGAAAACCGAAATTGATGAATTCCATGTTTCCAAATAAAAATGGGTCATATTTTTTGTTTTTGTGCTTGTTTGAGAGCTGCTGAGCCACTTCTTGACAACCCCCCATTCCTTCTAGGAGGTATAGAAAAAGTATTTTGGGGTCCCACCTATAAGATATGTTGGAAAAACGCCATTAAAAAACCTCAGCAGGAGGGCAATGCAGTGGCTTACACCCAGTAATCCCAGTGCTTTAGCACGCCAAGGCAGAAGGATCATTTGAGCCAGGGAGTTCAAAGTTACAGTGAGCTATCATCATGCACTGCACCCCAGCCTGAATGACAGGGCGGGACCCTGTTTCTAAAAAAAAAAAAAAAGCAAAACAAAATTTGAAAAGCCTCAGGAGAAGCAGAGCTCATAGCCATGGAGTTCTCATTTCTCACTCAGTGATGTTTAGATCCAGGAAAACAATAAGGCACAGCCTGATGAACTAGCCTATACTACTTAACCCTTCCACTTATTAAAAGTGAAAAAGTACTATCTTCACCAAAATAAAAGACACACACAGAATGACCACCCATTCAAACCTCTTCATTACTTTTCCAGTGTGTCCCCACAACAACTAGGGAAGCAGGGAAAACTTCCTGTTGCTGTACATATTGCTGTAGCGAATGGAAATACTCTATCAATGGATGCCTGTTTTCACAGATGTTATCCCCTCTACAAGGATACATCCTAGCTCTGCCACCACAGGGACACTCTCCTTTTATGTCTTGGAAAGGGTACAGAATTCCATATTCCAAATATATGGTAAGGAGCAGGAACAAATCTTCTCATCAATGGTTTTCAGGTCATCATATACCTAATCCTTACAGAGTTCATCATATTTGCCAATGTAAATCTGTTATAAAAACAAATTTAATTTGTTTTCAATTCTATTTTTTATTTTGGATTTAGGGGTGGTCATGTGGGGTTGTTACACTGGTATATTGCATGAAGCTGGTTTGGAATATGAATGGTCCTGTCAGCCAGGAGGTGAGCATAGTACCCAAGCAGGTTTTTGGCCCACATCCCCCTACCTGCCTCTCCCTCATCTAGTACTACTCAGTGTCTATTTTTCCCTTTTCATATGTATGTGGTTTCAATGTTAACTCCTACTTGTAAATGAGAAGT